GGAAATAGTCACAAAATTAATGCGGTGAGAAATCGTCTCTTTTTCCTCGTTTTGCGTCGCTTGTTCGTATTGTCTGCTTTCTTCCCGCCTTTTTTATGACCAGCGAGAGATTTTGTAGCGGTGTAACTGCATTTGATTGTGTTTATGTTTTACTACAGAGATAATAAATATACGAACTTAAAAATGCTTTCCAAAATTTCAGTGTCTTTGTAAAATGCCATACTAGAGCAGAATTTATGTTATATGATCCCTACGAGTTTAGCATATCCTCTGATTAACACAAAATGTAAAACTGAACCTACGATGATCAAATAAAGTAGCTACTCTTTGCTAAAACAAACCCTGCGTGCTTAATGCATTTTAAGCGATGTATGTATAATATTGCTAATAATAATTATGATTAAAGAGCAAAATGTTCCTTAGATTAAATTAAAAAATTCTAGCAGAGGATTTTCAGTTATATTTTAAGAAGACTGCAAGGATCCGGACACTGGTGCTCGGCCACAATAACAAACATGGCGGTAGCGTCTGAAGAAGAGCAGTTTTTTGCTCTTGTTTCTATCGAGGAAAAGAGCCAAATACCAGAAAATTTAGGCAAGAAACTTCAAGATATATGGGCTACGAAACTCACTGAAATTACAAACTTGAAGGTTCAAAATGAAAAGCAAAGACTTAAATCTGGTAAGCAGGCTGCTTAGTCTGGTCGGCATTTTTTTTTTTTTAAATTTGTATTGTACTTGGTGTTTATTTTTAAGAAGAAGTATAGATTTTCACTCGGACTGATAATGGTAGATATGGAGCTAATTTTATATATTATATATATAGAAACAAGTTGTGATATCTGATAAATTTGAGATATTAGAAAAAATTCATACAAGCGGTGCTTTGATGCTGGTGAAGGGCTCTTGATCCAAGGGACTAAATCGATCCTCCCTTTCATAGGATCGAATCTGTATGTCTCCCTTTTTTCCAGGCGCTGTGTGACCCTTACGGGTTTAGTATTCCTCTTTCTAAATGTACATGTACAAAATGCAGCTTTGTGTGGGTACCCGTATCTTATATTAGAATGTTAAGAGCGAGGAAAACTTTATTCAAGAGCCTGAATGGAAGTAACCCAGTTTGACTTAATTGGGTTGTCCAAGGTTACTAACTCTCCGGTTGGCTATTGCTATGTTAAATGTTGGTCCTCGGCAAAACTTGGGATTATTTTATTTTATTTTTTTTATGATGCAGCCTATCTACATCATGGAGGGCACTGACGTGTTGTTAGTGTCCCTGGCCTGGTGGGAAACACTCTTGCCTCTTCACATAGTGTCCGGGGTTAAATACCCGGCTGGTGGAAATACTGGCAGTTTCCTTACACCTGTTGCCCCCAAATTCCCTACAGCAAGGGGTACGGGGAGTTTTCAGCTGGTGGGTTTGCACCTGGGGGAAAAAATTGAAGGACCCCAATGGAAAAAAAACACATCCTCGAGAACACCGACTTTCTGGGCATCCCGAACAATTGGGTTGGGAAATTTTTTTTGTTGGGGATGGATTGTAAAGGACCTTTCCCTAGAAAGGGCCAACGGGCCTGCGCAGGGTCCTCCTTCAATGTTCGTGGTTTAAGATCTCTTTTATCAAGATAATGTAAGATGATTGATTTTTAAATTATTTTTTTCCTTTTTTGGTCCCCTTGCGCTTTGGGGTGATGGTCATGAAAAAAAAAATGGCAAATAATATCTTTTTTTTGGTTAAATGTTCTTCAGAGCCAATCAGTGGTTAGAATTGAGCCAGTTAATCCGGGTATGGCATTCCATTTCTCCCGATGATAGTGTGGGTTACTGTTTTTAGGCTTTGTTTGGTTATTTTGGGTTATCAGTAAATGATATCAATACGAAAATTTTAAAGAAAAACATTGAAACACGAAATTTTTTTATTGAAAAAATTTTTTTGCCGCACTGTAGGTTTTTATCATCAAATACGGGGTTTTTTTACACCCCTTTGAAGATCAATTTTGGGAAAGAGTAAGTAAATAAAGGGGAGGGGGTGTTTGATTTAACACCCACCCCCCTTGGTGCAAGATTATCATTTTTTTAACCAAAGCAAAGCTTGTGTCCAAAGCTTTTGCCAAAGGGTGAGGTGAAACACTAGAGCTGTTACTTTTCTCCAGATGTAACCATCCCTGTTTTTTACTGTGAAGCCCCAGTGCAGGCAAAACATTTATTTAAAAAAAATTTCTAGTGTTCCCCATTCTTATCTTCAAATTTTCATATTTTACCATTTTAAAAAGATTCTTGTTTGACATTGGGGGGCTGGGAACGTTTTTCCTAATAACTGTTTACATACCTACTTTTCCCCTAGTAGCCCGCTCACCCAGACCTCTCCACTGCACACTTCACCTTCCGGTATATAAACCTCTGGCCATCTTCTGCTTTAGGCTAAGAGACTTGGCAGACGATGCACCATCCCCCCAATGAAAAGCAGGGGTGTCACTAGCACGTTAAGAGACCATACAGTAAGTGTCAGGGGCCCGAGACTGTTCAACTGCCTCCCAGCACACATAAGGGGGATTACCAACAGACCCCTGGCAGTCTTGAAGCTGGCACTGGATAAGCACCTAAAGTCAGTTCCGGATCAGCCGGGCTGTGGCTCGTATCGTTGTTTGCGTGCAGCCAGCAGCAACAGCCTGGTTGATCAGGCTCTGATCCACCAGGAGGCCTGGTCACAGACCGGGCCGCGGGGGCGTTGACCCCCGGAACTCTCTCCAGGTAAACACTGAAGGTGACGGACTAATTATATCAGACTTCCACCATTTTTGTCAACTTCATCTTCCACCAAAGCTAAATTCTCCACGAGTGTAATCCATTCCTGTATTTGACTAATGATGCTTGCAGCTCAGACAAAATGTTTCTTCTTACTCTTCATCTTGTTTGGTTATGTTAGATTTTCCCAGTTGTATAACATAGTACTATCTTTGTTACTAATCTCACTTTGTTGTATATTTTATACTGTATATTTTATTGCCAATATACATCGAGGACCAACATTCAGTTATATAAAATGGTGTTTACTTGAAGGAGTTTGAGATACCTTAGTTACTTTGCTGTGGGTTATTCAAACAGGTCTGTATTTACCATACTGTGGTATCATTCACTCTCCTGTGTATGGTAATAGATTTTCCACTAGGTAGGTATATATGTTTACCTGGAGAGGGTTTCGGGGATCAACGCCCCTGCGGCCCGGTCTGAGACCAGGCCTCATGGTGGATCAGGGTCTGATCAACCAGGCTGTTACTGCTGGCCGCACGCAAGCTGACGTATGAACCACAGCCCGGTTGGTCAGGTACTGACTTTAGGTGCCTGTCCAGTGCCTTCCTGAAGACAGCCAGGGGTCTATTGGTAATCCCCCTTACGTATGCTGGGAGGCAATTGAACAGTCTTGGGCCCCCAGACACTTATTGTGTTGTCTCTCAGTGTACTTGTGGCACCCCTGCTTTTCATCGGGGGAATGTTGCATCTTCTGCCGAGTCTTTTGTTTTCATATGGAGGATTTTTTGTGTCAATTTGGTACCAATCCCTCCGGGACCTTCCAAGTGTATTTTATCACATCCTTTTGCTTGTTGAGGGAAACAGATCAAGGACCTCATTCGTTCCCATTTTTTGGGTCCTTATCGCACTTTTTCCGGGAAAGTTTTTTTGTACACTAAAAGGTCTGCAATGTCGCCAGCCTTGGGGGGGGCCGTTAGTGAACAGCAGTTTTCCCCCACCTAGAGAGCACAAGCGTTTGAAGAGAATCATCATGGCTTGGACCCTATTTTAAAAAAGTTTCCCAGCCTTTTAAGGGTGAAAAACAAAACCAAAGGCACTATGTAAAAAAAAATTTACTGTACCAAATATTGCCACCATCTGTGACATTCAAATTCTTTTTTTTGGCAAAAGCCTTTTGTGATCATGACTAAAATCGACTTGTGAATTTTGCCCCTCACGTTTTGTCTCGCACTTTATCACCCCCAAAATTAAACTTTTGAATGAAAATGGTTTTTTGACTTGCCCCATGTGAACAAGTTGCTCTAGTCAGGACGAAGCACTAGTAGACATTTATTGAAGATTCTCCCTCCCACCCCCCTAAAAACTATGCAAATATCCCTTTTTTTTTCCCCATGTTTTTTTTTAAATGTAACTGTTTTCATTAAAATACTCTTCAAATTTTTTTTTATAATTTTTCATTTTTATTTCCAAGATCAAGAAAAATTTCAGCATGAAAAGGAACTTGTACAACGGTTTAGCTTGAGGAAAAAAACCGCTTAAAGAAAGCAATAAACAAAAAGAGAAATTTAAAAAAAAAAAATTATTCTTTTAAGAGGAGTACCAGCCGACAAAAAAAAAGGCTTTACACGTGAGGTGGAACAGTTTTAGTAATATAAGAATTCTTTTTAATTTCATAGAAATATTACATTTGAAAAGGGCCCAAGAAATGTATTTCAAAAAGCAATCTTGCAATTTATTTTTTTCGTACGTCTAAAATGTTATAAATTTACAAGAGGGTTTCCATTTTTTCTGTGGTCCTTAGAAAATGATGTGTAATTGCCTTTTTTTTTTGTAGCCCTGGTCATTGTGTATATAGGAGTTTTTAAAGTATTAAAAACAACTGTTTTTGGGGAATATGGCTTGAAGAAATTAATCTAGTGAAGACAACTTAAGCTGCACTTGGCTTAAATTTCCTTTTGAAAATTTGTAAGAAAAGTTGCAAAAGTTGGTGAAGGAATTTGGGAGGTTGTGCAAAAAAAAGGAAGTTGAAAAGCAAACATAGATGAGATCAAGGTTATGAAGTCTAGGCAATAAAAGATGCAATGGAAATGGCAGATTGGAAAATAAGGGGTATGGAATAAGTGAATTTATAAATAAGCGTATTTATATATTTGGGAGTAAATGTGTCAGTAGATAGATCTGTTGGACTCGAAAGGATATTCTTGAGTTTTCCAACTTGTATATTTAACCTAGGACACAGAATGAGAAAGAAGATGCTTCTACACACTCAGCAGCCATGGCAGGAAGCCTTGAAACCAGAGTTAAGCAAATACAAGATCTACAGGAGCAAGTAGGTTTATTTCACATTTGGTACTGAATAATTTTTACAAGCCTTGAAATGCATTCTTTCTCTAATTATATCCTTGGTAATTTTGTATAAATTTTACTGAATTTATTTAGCATCTTGATCTACTTTTGGAATATTATAAAAGCTTTTGAGACAGAGGTTTCTCTGCTATATATTTCATAGTTTTGGAGTTACCGCAAAAGAGCTCCTGTTGTGTATTTTATTAACCCTTAAACTGTCCAAATGTAGATCTGTAAACCATACCATGGACCGGGATAGAACCCGCGATCAGAGATTCTCTAAACCCCAGATCGTCACGTTAGCCATGGTGTAGAAATATACCTAGTTGGATGAATCTTATTGTGGCTAGCTGGCCCAGTGGCAAACGCGACGGTCTGGAGTTTTGAGACTAATCGTGGGTTCTATCCCCATCCGTGGTATGGTTTGTTTGCAAATTTTGGGCATTTAAAGATTTTTCGAGGGCATGTGACGGCTTGAGGGGACTTGAGCTAGAGGTTTTGTCACACCTGGCTAGCTGGAGATTCATCTGTAAAAACTTGCATTTGTGGTCACAGTGGTGCCTATGCTAACCTTCCTATGATGTAGAAATATACCTAGTTGGGTGAATCTTATTGTGGCTAGCTGGCCCAGTGGTTTTAAAGCACGGTCTGGAGTTTTTGAGACTCTGATCGTGGGTTCTATCCCCGTCTGTGGTATGGTTTGTTTGCAATCGTGGCATTACGATTTCGTGAGTCAAGTAGATCTACGTTCGCTCTCATAGCGCTCCTAACGTAGATCTTACTTTTTTTTTTTACATTCTTTTTTCGGAGAAAACCCAATTTTTGGAGCACTAGGGCCCGCGCGAAATGTAAAACTCTTTTGGGACAGTTAAAGGGGAAAATTTAAACTCATCAAGAGAAGTATTTTGATCCCCCCCCAGGGACCCTCTTGATCCTAGATGGGGTATATGTATTTTTCTCTTTTTTGGGTCAAACATAATTGTCTCTTATTCCCTATTGCTTGTGATACTTTTTGGGGTTTTTAGCACATCCCCTTATTCTTTTTTAAAAAAATAATGTATTTTTTTGGGTTATAAAAATGTAAAATTTTTTTTTTGGTTCCTTTGCGTGGGAGAAAGGGTTGTTAATGTTAAAAATTTATATAACAAAAACAAAAAAAATGAAATGATTGAAAAGCTGGATGTCTCAAACTGAGGGGAAACTTAGCAAAATGGGGGGGGAAGAATTTCCAATGGGTGGGAAATTAAATCCAATCAGATAAGATGTATCTTAGAGAACCAGAACAAAAAAGGGGAAAGGTTAGGGGGAAAAATTTTAAAACCCCTTTGGGGTTTTCCGGCTGGACTATTTAACGGCTTATGACCCGGGTTTTTTTGATGACTAATACGCCAAAATTCTAGCCCCCTCAAATCTAGGGGGAAAAAAAGGCTGGTGGGGCCCCTACAAAATGAAAAAAAGGTTTCTAGGGGGTCATTGGGCACAGTATAAAAAAAATCCTGCAGCACACAGTGCATAATGAAAAAAAAAACCGTTTTTTTTTTAAAAAAACACGACTTTCCCACTGAAAATTTTCGTAGGGAAATTTTTTGTTGAAATTCTATTTTTTTGGTCTCATTTTATAGAAGGAAGACAAAATTACAAAAATTTGGGAATATTTTTGACTTTTTTTTTAACAAAAAAGGGGTACCCGAAATTGAGCTCAAAGTACAGAATTTTTCGTTTTTTACCAAAGTTCAAAAGTAAACAAATAAAGCCAAGGTTCCAATGCCGTCCCCTGGTGAATCTGATTTTCTTTTTTCGCAAGTGAAACCAATTTTAAATTTTATACCTTTTTTTTACACAAAACCCAGTAGCCCCTGCATAACAGTAAACTTCTTTTTTTTTGGAGAAAAAAAAATTCAAAGGGGGAAAGCAAAAGAATAAAAAGGGGCCTTGAAAACGTGACTAATGAACAAGGAAATGTCTTTTTAAAAAAGCCGGGAAAATGCCCTTTTTTGGGTTTTTTCTGGACCCTATTCGGAAGGGGTATTTTTTAAAAAATTTGGGGAAAATTTGGGGCAAAATTGCAAAAATTTCAAAACCAAACTGAACGGGATATTAAAAATTGATAAAGGGGTGGTTTTTTGCACTCATTCGAAAAAAAATTTTATTTCAAGCGAAATATTCATGTTTTTTGTCGACAAGTACAGGGAATTGGCCGAAAATAGGCCAAATTGGCAAAATCGCCGATGAGTAACATCGCTGAACCCGAAAACTTCCGAGAGCCAAATTCGTAATTTTTCTATAAAATTTTCCCAAACTTTTGGTGCTTTATGATCGGAAAAGATTCCCCTTTTTTTCATAAGAGAAAATTTTTTTTTTTTTAAATTTTTGGGCCGACCCAAAAAAACGAGTCCCCGGAGAGGGCCTGTCAACCCTAAAAGGGGTTTAAAAATCAGCAACTGGGGAAAAACAAAAAAAAGGTCTGTAAGTGACAAATTAAAAAATTTAATTTTTGGATTAAAATAAAGGTGGTATGGGGGTTGGGATTATAAAAGTGAACCCCCGGTGGGGAAAAGGGGTTTTTTTTGAATATAAATGAAGTATTTTTTGTATGTACAAAAAGCCCAAAGGGATAAAACTCGATCCCCTTAACATTTTTTTTGCCTTAACATGAATTGAATATCCCAAAAAACAATCAGTGGGAAAATGTGAAAAGGGCTGGCTTTTTTTCCCTCCTCCCTAGGGGAGAAAATTCAAGGAAGCCCATTGTTTTTCCCAAGAATCCCGCTTAATGTACACCCAAACCCCCCTCGCCTCATTGCTCAATTCATACACGCCCCGTACCATACCTCAGCCCACATGCCTTTCCCTCATTTTCCCGCCACCCACCTTTGCATCTTTCAAACCCCCACAAATTTTTTCCATTTAAATCAATGAAATTTATAATAAAATGATTGGGAAACAAACCACGAAGGAAAGGGGTTTTTTAAACCCCTTGGGGAGTAGTCGTAAAAATTCCCCCCCCTGTTGGAATAAATATACTTAGTTTTGGTAAAAAGAAAAACTTCTTTTGCTGCAATCTTTAAAGGGTGCTCATAGATGAACTTCTTTGACAGAAAAGAAATACTTTTTTAAAAAATGTATAATTTTGGAGAAAACTTTGTAAACCCCATGGCATATTTTTCAGCTTTTTTTTAATTACACTGTTCAAACTAATTTCTTCTTTTTGTCTGCATTTAAGGTTGGTTTAAATCTCTTTTCAAATTTTCTTAGGATTCTCCATTATTTTGCAATTTTTTTTAAATTTAAGAAAAGTATAAAAAAAATTTCTGAAAAAAAACAAAAACAATGTAAAAGTGGAAAACCCCAAGTATCAACTTATCCATTTTCCCGGGGCTTTGTTCTAAATTTTGAAAAGGGCCCGAAAATTGAAGCAAATATTTTTTCCCATAAAAAAAAAATGGAAATACAATTAATCCATTCCAGAAACCCAAAAAAATTCACAAAAAAATACTTTTTTTTTAGAGGGTTAAATTTTCAGTTTTACATAAAACCAAAATTTAAGTGTTTTTTTTTTTTTCAACAATTTGGGTCGCCCCCCAAACCCAAGGCAGGGGGGACCCCAAAAAAAAAAAGAAATCCCCAAAAAAAAAATACTTTCCCCTCATCATTCAACACTTTCACTAACTCCCCACATTATCACGCTTTTTCAGAGGGCCCAGAAAACCCAAAAGTTTTTGAACCTAAAAGTAAAAGATACACAAAATATCCCCCCAATTAATGTATATAAAAAAAAGTAACATTTTTTCTTACCTTTATTGAAGATTGGTGATGGCACTGGAAAGATGGGGAGGAAAGAGAGGGAGTTGGGGGGTTTGTGTTTTGGGAAAGAAATTTCCCCTCCAAGAGGACTTCAGGGAAAGCCCCCTCTGGGGTTTTCTTGCCCTTTTCTTTTCTTTTTAAAGCCCCAAAGGGCCAGCTTGAGAGTCCCCGGGACCCTTTTCACAAAAAAAATGACCACAGTCCTCTGAAAACTGGCGCCTCTTTTAAAATTTTTTCCAAAATGGGGCTGGTTCTTCACTTTAACGGGGTTTCCCGGAGTTTTTTTGTACCAGATCGGCCAAAGCAACCCTTTCCCTTTCCTTTTGCAAATTTAAACGGCTCTGAAAAAACTATCACCTGCCCTCCCCTTTATCCTTGATTTTACACCAGCAAAAACTTTTCAAACCCCTTTAACTATTTATGGTCTTTTTTTTGGGAAGCATAAAAAAACACCTTTTTGCAACATCAAACTTCCCCTTTATTTGTTCTTTCTTTGGGCCCGGGTAAACCCGATGGTCGACTTGGTTTTTTTCCCCATACATCCCCGGGAAGCTCCCGCAAGTCTCCCTAACCCCTCTCATACTTCTGTATTATTTTTCCCTTTTTCCCCATCTATGGTGTTTTTCACTTTTTACCACAGGGGTTTCAACAGCAAGTTTTTTTGGGCCCATGGGTTTTTTTTTTTCACAGTCTCACAAAAAGAAAGGTTTTTGAGGTGGTGAAGCAATGTAAAAAGAGCAAATGAGAGGTGGGGGAAAAGTTATAAACAAATTTTTTTGAAAATAAGAAAAATTTTGGAGTGAGATTTAACCCAAATTAAGGGAAATCAAAACAAAGGATTTGCAGTTAAAAAAAGGGGAAAGGGGAGTTTTTAAATTTGGGGAATTTTTAAGGGAAGAGAAAGGGGGGAAAAAATTTTTAGGAATTGTTGAAAGTTGATGGATAGGGAACTGGATTTTTGTGTTAGGGGAAGGAGGAATAACATCTTTAAGGGGTGAGGAAACCGGTTTTGAGTGTGGGGGAAGTTTTGTGAGGCAGTAGGTAAAATGAAAGGGGGTTAAGGCAGCTGGTTGATGGGATGAAGATAGAAATGTTAAAAGCAGGTGGGGATGTAGTTTTGGAGTGGTTGGTGCTATTATTTAATAAATGTATGAAGAGGGTAAGGTACCTAGGGATGGCAGAGAGACATGCATAGTTCCTTTGTATAAAGGCAAAGGGGACAAAAGAGAGTGCAAAAATTATAGGGGGATAAGTCTGTTGAGTATACCTGGTAAAGTGTATGGTAGAGTTATGTATTATTGAAAGAATTAAGAGTAAGACTGAGAATAGGATAGCAGATGAACAAGGAGGCTTTAGGAAAGGTAGGGGGTGTGTGGACCAGGTGTCTACAGTGAAACATATAAGTGAACAGTATTTAGATCAGGCTAAAGAGGTTTTTGTGGCATTTATGGATTTAGAAAAGGCGTATGACAGGGTGGATAGGGGGGCAATGTGGCAGATGTACGGTATAGGAGGTAGGTTACTGAAAGTAGTGAAGAGTTTTTACGTGGATAGTGAGGCTCAAGTTAAAGTATATAGGAAAGAGGGAGATTATTTCCCAGTAAAAGTAGGCCTTAGACAAGGATGTGTGATGTCACCGTGGTTGTTCAGTATATTTATAGATGGGGTTGTAAGAGAAGTAAATGCGAGGGTCTTGGCAAGAGGTGTGGAGTTAAAAGATAAAGAATCACAACAAAAGTGGGAGTGTCACAGTTGCTCTTTGCTGATGACACTGTGCTCTTGGGTGATTCTGAAGAGAAGTTGCAGAGATTGGTGGATGAATTTGGTAGCGTATGTAAAAGAAGAAAATTGAAAGTGAATACAGGAAAGAGTAAGGTTATGAGGATAACAAAAAGATTAGGTGATGAAAGATTGGATATCAGATTGGAGGGAGAGAGTATGGAGGAGGTGAATGTATTCAGATATTTGGGAGTGGACATGTCAGCGGATAGGTCTATGAAAGATGAGGTGAATCATAGAATTGATGAGGGGAAAAGGGTGAGCGGTGCACTTAGGAGTCTGGAGACAAAGAACTTTGTCCTTGGAAGCAAAGAGGGGAATGTATGAGAGTATAGTTTTACCAAGACTCCTGTATGGGTGTGAAGCATGGGTGATGAATGTTGCAGCGAGGAGAAGGCTGGAGGCAGTGATGTCGTCATGCCTGAGGGCAATGTGTGGTGTGAATATAATGCAGAGAATTCGTAGTTTGGAAGTTAGGAGGAGGTGCGGGATTGCCAAAACTGTTGTCTAGAGGGCTGAGGAAGGATTGTTGAGGTGGTTTGGACATGTAGAGAGAATGGAGCGAAACAGAATGACTTCAAGAGTGTATCAGTCTGTAGTGGAAGGAAGGCGGGGTAGGGGTCGGCCTAGGAAAGTTGGAGGGAGGGGGTAAAGGAGGTTTTGTGTGCGAGGGGCTTGGACTTCCAGCGGGCATGCGTGAGCGTGTTTGATAGGAGTGAATGGAGACAAATGGTTTTTAATACAGTGGACCCCCGCTTAATGATCACCTCAAATGCAACATTATGTAAAGTGCGTTGTCGGATATGGGCTGAAATGGGACTAATCTACTTCACAATATTTCTTATGGGAAAAAAATCGTCAGTAACACCTGAACATACTACGAAATGAAAAAGTTCTTAACCGTGGGTCCACGTACTTGATGTGTGTTTGTTGTTAAAGTACTTAAGGATTCAGGGAAACCGCAGGCCGGGCTTGAGACGGAGATGGGAAGTACAGTGCCTGCACTCTGAAGTGGGTGTTTAATGTTGCATTTAAAACTGTAGTTTAAAGCACCCTTCTGGCACACAGGATGGATGAATAGAGGGAAAGTATTCTTATTCGGTGCCACCCATCCATGTGGAATCTGCCAGTGTGATATAAACAAAAAAATAAGATAAAGGGTTCTAGCCCATTGTCACATTAGTTGAACTTTTACAACATCATGTCTTACAGAGGAAAAATCTTATTCCACTTCCTGTGGATATAAAGAAAAAGCAATAAGAACAAGAACTTTAAGATAAAATCAAGAAATACTTGGTTTGTCACATGATACTAGATTTAGTGTTGACCTAAGTAAGTTAAGAGCAATACTTTTAGAATCTTACATGTTTTTATGAACAGAAAAAAGACACCAGCAATTATACCATCAGTAAAAACAATTTTCAGGCTTTTGATTTTCACCACTTGGGAGGGTCTCCCCGGGTGGTTTTTGTCTACCAAACCGCTACCCAGGGTTTAGTTTTTGGACCTGACAGTTTGGAGTATGAGCAGGGGAAATTTAGTTAAAAATTAGGAAAACCGTTTTTTAATAGCCGACTTTAGCCTGGAAAAGGAAATACGATGCCTGCAACCCAAAGGGGGGTTTGGGATATTGGGGGAGTTTGGAGAGAATTTTTGTGTTTTTAAAAGTATATACTTCTAAACTGTTTTTAAACTGGCACCCTGCAAAAACAGTGATTATGTTGATGAGGTGAAAAGGTTTTAAAACGAGAAAGTATTTTCTTTTTGGGGATTTTCTTTCGCTTTGGTTCACCCTGCCTCGGTGGGAGACTGCCGACTTGTTGAAAAAAAAAGCTTCTAAACTGTTGTATCTGGGTGCCTCTGCAAAAACAGTGATTATGTATGAGTGAGGTGAAAGTGTTGAATGATGATGAAAGTATTTTCTTTTTGGGGATTTTCTTTTTGGTCACCCTGCCTCGGTGGGAGACGACCGACTTGTTGAAAAAAAAAAAATTAAGATTTTTTCCTACATGTACGTATTTTAATAAAAATACGTACTTTACAGGTGCACAAACTGACAGAACAGTTGAGTGAGACCACACGAGCAAAGTGTGAAGCTGTTATTCAAGCAGAAGAAGCAAATAGTCGTGAAATGCAGCTTAAGTACAGGTCAGTTGATCAAGTTTGTGCGTTAGTTGTTGTCATGGTTGTAACTACGTATCTGGAGCTGCAGGAGCAGATCTATTCTTGTGGTGTCTTGTCTTCAGTAATATATTTATCATGTAATTTTTAAAAATTTTGAATGATTGTAGCACTTGCTACTCATACCTATTTCAATTTATTCCGTTCTTCTGTTAATTTAATTGTTACAAAAAAATTTCCCAGTCTTCCTTCAGCTTCAGTTATTCTTAATTTATATCAGTGACCTCTTGTTTTCTCTATTAAAGAGACTAAAAAATTATTTTCATGTTCTTTTGTAACTTCATATGTTATAATGTCTCCTAGATCCCCTTTTTTACTTCCAAAATTTTGTCACAGCTATATTCTTTGTGGTCTGATTTATGCTTTATTACATTCATCATGCATCTGTCACTACAAATACAGTGGTACCTCAAGATAAGAACTTAATTCGTTCCAGAAGGCTGTTCTAGTGCCGATACCGAACGAATTTATTCCCATAAGAAATAATGTAGATTAGATAATCTGTTTCAGACCCCCCCCAAAAATATGCTTACAAAAGCACTTACATAAATACACTTATATAATTGTTCGAGTTTTGAGCTGTTCATATACCAAAGTACCACTGTACTCAGTTTACCCAAATAATTTTTTAGCCCTTTCAGGGTTTCGGCCGTACTAGTACGGCTTACGCACCAGTGTCCATGACGTACTAGTACGCCTAAATTCTGGTGCCCTCAAATCTAGTGAGAGAAAGCTGGTAGGCCTACATATGAAAGAATGGGTCTATGTGGTCAGTGTGCGCAGTATAAAAAAAATCCTGCAGCACACAGTGCGTAATGAGAAAAAAAAAAACTTTGACCCTGTTTTTGGATTAAAACAGCGACTTTGCACTGTATTTTCGTATGGTATTTATTGTTTTATTCTAGTTTTCCTGGTCTCATTTTATAGAATGGAAGATATATTACAGAAATTGAGATGATTTTGACTGGTTTTACAATGAAAACTACCTTGAAATTGAGCTCAAGGTAGCAGAAATGTTCGATTTTTACCAAAGTTCAAAATTTACAAATCATGCTATGCGTCCAATACCGTCAACGGGGGATTAATATTCTTTTACAAGTGGCTATATTATTTATACCATTTCTACACTAAATTCAGTAG